ATATTTTATTACGAGACATTCGCTTATGCAAAATATAAACATCATAACAACATGTTGCGTATTATGAGTATCAAGTGATATGAGAATCATGAGATCTTTCTCAGTTATCAGCCAAGAAAAACAACATGCAAATCGTTTCAAAATAAATGGAATGACCTGTAGTCGGCAAATTAATTGAATTTGGAGGAGTGTTGGCACTGTTTATTGTCACATTTTAATCTTGTGACAGTTTAGTTTTATTCTTCTCAACGTATGAGTATATAATTAAATCATCAAGCCATCAATGTCTTGATGAGGTCATCGAAAAGATCGAAACTCAGTTTTCCATCAGGGTTTTTCAGTCTGTACATCGCATACCACTCTTCGTTGGCTTCTGGATGCGGTCCGACCATTCCCAAGCGTCCTTTTCCATAATTTTGCACAGCAGCTGCAATCTCACCATTGGTGTAAACCGCCAGGATTTCTGCAGGTGCTGCTGTTCGATCGATCATCAAACGAGTGCCATCTTGAAAATAAACATGTCGCAGTCTTCCTCGCCACAATAGAGGTACGACAGTATCAATTTCACTGGTAATAACAGCACCCATTGATGTAATATATTGGTCGGTCTGTCCTCTGCCTGGAAGAAGGCCAAAACCCGGTTCGGTTCCTGCCAAATAAGCACCGAGACAGATACCAAGATATTTTCCTCCATTTCGAACATAATCATGAATAGGTGAAGCGTAGCGACGAACATGAGGCCAGGCCTCGTCTAGATCTCCTCCACCCGGCTGTACGTATAGCTGTGCTGTCGATAATGTATTCTTATTCACGTCTACCTGTTCCTTAGGTCCAGCATAGACAATTTGGTATTTCTGTCGAAGGAGATCGGCGATCGTCTCTGGACAACCACGACAAGCAGCCGGACCTCGGTAGATCAACGCGATAGGGAGGGCAGCTGTGCTCATTTCGAGCAGACTTGCTGTAAAAAGAAGTCGAAGAAGAAAAATAGAGCAACTCATACTAGTCAAGCAAAATATCAAAATGCTTCTTGTCTATTTCTTTCTTTGAAGCTGCTGGCTATGCACATGGATCAAAGGATTAATTTCTTCTCGTGTTACGACAATGAAAAAATGTATTCTCTTCATTTTCATCACCATTAACTATATGCTTACTCGTGATGTTATTTCGAAAAAATCAGTATGTGACTTCTTACATTCTCATACAAATCAATACCAAGAATGTCAGTGAAATATGATCATCGTCAATGCAGCCCATGGCCTAATTACTTCTCATACTTATATTGGAATGAAGCTAGTGATTACTCGTTTTTTCCACTCACAGTGTACCACACAGCTATTTAGATTTTCTTTAAAAACTCGCTACCGAAAGTTTCTCCTTTGAGGGTGCAGATCTCTGTGTACCTTCATGGACACGTTCACGTTCACGTTCACACCGACATCGACACTCCCATTCACACTCACATTAATATCCTTGTTGAACCAAACTCTGTACTGGAGAAACTCTTGAAATTATTGCAGATTTAGTTTCTTTGAACTTTTCTTCAATCGATGAATATTTATTCGCTGCTATCGAAGATTACACTTTCCATTATTGACACGTTCATTTTATAGTCACAAGTGAGAGTAAACCTTATTCTAACAATTTGTTACTTCATCGATCAAATATTTTTCTTACACCACGATAATTTTTCATTAGCAATGATTTAGTAGTACTCACTTGGTAAACATTTGGATGGTGGACATATTGTGTCGTTAATAGACAAGTGATCCATCATAAAATATTGATGAATATAAGTATCATACATACCCGCGCCCACACTCTATAATTACAATTGATATGGATATAAGCTGTACAAAAGAAGACTTTTGTTTATCATCCGAAAGAAAAATGGTAACTCAGAATAAATCATGATTAATTTTATTTATGTAATCGATAGAATCAATTGATGAAGCAAACAAATGACAGAGAAATAGTTTATTTATGTTTAAGCAGTCATTCATTCAGCTTTTCACTATAGTCAAGTCAATTCGCTTTCTAAATTGATTTTAAATCATTCGGATTGTCAGAAAATTCCGCAAGCGATGGATATATGTTTGCAGCCATGTGAGACTCATGATTACTTTCATTGTCTTTTCTTTCTTCTGTTTCGTAAGGTGCACTAGCTTCGATCGTGATTGCACGTGCAGAACTAGCCACTTTGTTGCGTGCATCATCTTTTATGGTTTGATCTTGTCGAATGCTGATGTATACCAGAATACACCACAGACCTTCGAGTCCATTGAGAACAGCAAAAAACCAGCCAATGATGTAACTAGACGATGGTATAACGACGAGTATGACAGAGCCAATCAACCAACTAAGACATTGGATAAAGCCTGATCCTATCATCAGGAACACATATAGTTTCATAGGTTTGTAACTCGAATAGGTGGAAGTAGTATGGCGAGCGTATTTTATTATATATCCAATCGTAATTATAATTATTAAAAGATTAATAAGAAGAAAAATACCAACGGGTAGAGTAAGAAAATAATGTATTGTTTGCTGTGTGAACCAACAAATTCGATTGGGAAACAGTGCAATTATATTGAGTGATAAAGAAAATTTGACACAAATAGCAATAACAGTCATTACAAAGGCAAATCCGACGAAAGTACTGAGGAAAAAATAGAATAAGGCGGATGATGGTGCATCAGAGGAAGAAATAAAGCGACTGAATTGAAAACAGCCAACACTTGTTTTGATGCCGAGCGTTGTAATGAACAAGAAATACACAATGAACGTTAACCAAGCAGCACTTGTGAAACACTGTGTTTCGTTCGGATTTTGTATATGCATGTGAACAGTTATGATAAGTGCAATGTAAAAAATGAAAAGTAATGCTATGCTTACGAAAGGTATGAGTGTGAATAAGTCATTTAGTTTTGAACTAATGTTTGAACTAAGACATTGTTTGAAAATGATGTGTATGAGAACTAGAAGAAAGCAGATTATAGCTATGGACATGGAAATAATCGAAGCCATAATTTGTCTATCAAGACTCGTGTCTTTCATGTTCGATTTATCTATCGACAGATTCATTCTGATGAGACCAAATGTAGCCAAATGATCGCAGACACATTCATATCGATTGAAGAAAGAATCGTATATCGGACGAGTACAACCTGTTTCATTCCAAGTTGAAATGTTTGTATCAAAAAACGAACAAAAATATTCTGTTGAAAAATTGAGTTTTTGTTCTGGTTTGACAGTAAAAAATAGACGAATGATGTTTTTCATTGGAAACTGATAAGCATGTCTTCTGTGTGCCGATACTAAAACTAATGAAGACACGAGTATTTTAGAAGTGTTTGTATTCAATCCAATATAATCGGCGGGATTTTCGATTACCAACATATTGAACCTCGAGAATCCGACCAATGAGTCAGGTTTAAAAATAGCTGCAATCGTAAAGTACGAAGAAAGTGTTGCTTGTAAAGTGGCCTTGCTGACGATTGTGCAATCTATACCAGATATACAAGAAACACCCAATAATACATTGGGACCTTCCATTGATTGAGATATGACAGATGATGTGTTGGAAGCCACCGTCAGCGTCATGTTAAGCCTAGAGATCAATAGTTCGATCTCTCCAATGGTCAATGCATTATTTTGTATTGACCTATTAAAAGTCTTAATTCCAGTAAAATAGAGTACAAGAGCATGAGCCAGTTGAACCGAATTAATCACATCACTTTTTTGAATCCCCATTGCTAGTATCTATGTTGACGAAGTGAAAATATATGAAGGAATTCAGAAAAAAAAATGCGCGCTGTTCTTATTGCTAAAACTTCTCTATATTACTTTGATTGTTTTGTCCAGATTTTTATTTGTTAAAAGATGCACTGTGAAATTCTTTACTACACAACATATAAAAACGATTGATCTTAAATGTAAGTATAGGAAATTGAATAAATAATCTATAAAAAAACCTCGAATATATCCATTCTACTTGCTGGCGAAAGATTCATTTATTTGGTTTTACTCGTGCTTATTGTGAGACATAGAAAAAGATTCAGTGACTTTGTAGCTCTTGAACAGTTGTATCTTTTAGTTGTGGTCAAAGACCTTTCATACCACAATGTGAAGTGTAAAATAAAGTTTTAGTTTTTAGGATTTTGTAATAATAATACGCTATTTGGATTAATATTTTCGGAACTTTAAACATATCGACTAAACAGTAATCTTTCAACTTGTTAAAACTCTATCTTTGTGAGAAAAGAACGGTTCATTACTACCAAACTTTAGTATTCTAATGTCTCTTTATCTTGAATGGAACTATTAGTAAAATGAATTCACATTTAAGCAAATTGCGATATGATATCGATGAATTATTGATTGATTTAGAATGTTTAGTCAATAGCACTTTCAATATAAACCATAAAAAAGAGTAAACTTTATTATACGAGAACCTTGTCTCAGTGATATTTTTCATTTGAAAACACATAGAACGCAATTTGAATTTTTTCAAGAACAAATATCTTAGTAAGTTGGACACGTTAAAACTTGATGATATTATTTGTCAAATTTTTTCATGCCTACATTCGAAATACAATGTTTTTTATGTGATGTTTTAGAGAACTGCATTGCGCATCTTCTGTTTAAAGAAAATGACAAAAAGAAAATAATTGCAATGGTATCAAAATAATTCCATAATCAATATCACCTATTCCTTCAGAACCACCCGATAGAAGGTGTCCCAAAAATATATTTACTATAAACAAATTCAATATTTCAACTCTACAGGAATTAATCAAGCGAAATTTGCTCGCAACGATTAATCAAATATTTATCCATAAGAAAACCGTTAGGTCTCTTGGGTATACTGCAAGTGCGCATTTTGTGTTCAGTCGCATCATCGCTCAGCATCTGACACAGAAGACGTAAACAAAAGAAGGGAAGTTCAATCGTATGATAGTGGCTGCTTCTCTTTATCTACAGACTTTGCTGCCATTGATGTATCTATCTATGTTATATCGAATAGACTTGATAGGACATTTAGATAGCTGAACGCAAGAATTTGTTGGTGTCCATGAGATTAACGGACAATATTTTGGACTATCATTATTCGTTTCAATAAAGAAATGTGTTTTTTCTAGTGAATATCTTCGTCAGATTAATCGTTTTTAAGTCCATATTTTGTCCAGTATTAAAATAGCATCACATTAAGATGATTTCGAAAGAGTTCATGTTCTTGTTAGGTTTTGGAAGAGATATTGAATATTTAGCAAATTTTGCCCTTAAAAACCTCAGCTTTGTAATAACAGAAACTTTCAATGTTGTATTTTCAAGATATAAACTTTTTAAAGCTTGCATATTTCACATAAAACTTACGAAAAAGAGTAAGTTTAATGTAGGCAAAGTGTCAGATCGAAGTTTGGAACCATGATTTAATTGTAGAGTTAAGGTCTTAGAAGACAAAATTTACTTAGAAATCGATATCTCGCAAAAGTCAACAAGAGCATCAGCTCTTTAGCAATTGCCTTAGTTTAATTAATCTTACGAACGGGTAAAACAGAGGCGGAAAAGCTGTCAATCTGACGGAGGTATTCTCTCAGAAATTGGAAAAGATTACATTTCTTCATTGAGTCGAATTTTACTAGTCCACAATATTATCCGTTAACAGTTTTATTATGGGTCAAAACCCTGTCTATCACTGAGAAAAAAAAATCAGTTCGATTGACTCAGGAAGAATGAAAACCTAGAATATTTTTATCGTTCAGATGTTTATAAAACACTCAGTACAATTAATGGCGTTGTTTTATCGAGACATACCCTTAAGGAATTTGTATCGATGAATGAATCCGTCATATATGATGAAAAGTTCCGAACTATTGAACTTGTGCCAACCGGAATTTGATTTCCTGCAACAAAATAATCAAAAATGAATATGAAAGATTCGCATCAGCATCATCTTCGTTGCTCTGAAATAATTTCAATTCTTTTGTTTAGAACACCATTTTCAAATAAATTATTATCAGTCAATTTTTGAAGCAACTATCTAATGCAATGTATCGTTACAGTCAGTTTATACTGAAAGATATATGGACAATGAGAAGAAATACAGAATTCTTCGTATTGGAAGTTAGCAAACGAAAGAATTAGCATGGTGTCATTTTCAATTGATTAACTAGATCGGAAACAAGAATATAAAACCGAAGCTGAGAAAACATTGAATTTAAATTCAGTTCAATGAAAACTCAAGTTACCTTTTGACATGTGCTTCTTGTCAATTATCAGAAAGGATCGAGCTGCATTTTTCTTAACTGAGTCATCAATATTTCTCATTAGAGCTGTTTCGAGCACGGTTCTTGGAGAAGTTCGATCAGTGACAATTGTTTGCGCACTAATCTCATGATATTTGATATTTTCATCGGTCTCATCGGCAAGCAAATGTCCAAGTTTACTGCGTTGATTTGTCTCATCGGCGTCTACCACTAATGAGAGTCCTCGGTTCAATGGTGCACTAAGCAGTTGAAGGATAATTATCAAAATCACAAGATTCATGTGTCGTTTGTTGGTCTAAATTGTAAGAAAAACTTGGTGAGAAGCAACGAAATCTTGCTGTGCGAAAAATAGTGCAAATATGAGCCGTATTGATTTACAAAATAATCCACAAAATACACCGTCAGTGGAACATGCAGCTATCGAATGAAAATGTGGCGAGATTGATTCCGACGGGTTTACTTTGAAATCACGATGCACAACAGGAAAGAACTGAAAAGAACGATTAGACTGAAGAAAAAACTCATGACTTATAGTGTCCCATAAAAAAATCTTCAATCAAGTCATTTGATATTCTAAATATCGTAAGCAAACTTGGCATCATCTTTCGTGTAATCAATTTCTCTTCTGATTTTGGCACATTCTCTTACATCGTCAATTGGAGAAGAAAACATATGTAATCAAAACCGTTATGCAGTAGGAGTTAATAATTTGAGTAGCATGCAAATCGTCTGATCACCGAATCTTGTCGATTCGCTCCAAGAAAAAACTAAAGCATTTTTCTTATCGTTGATTCTAACATAAACGGTATAATAATGATACTATCATGCTGTATTGAAATGTGACATCAAATATTATTGCTATGTCCAACTAAACTTCAAAGAAATCTTTGACGCTGAAAAACGGGAGCAAACATTTCTACCTTTTCACGCTAATTACTCATAAATGATCATACACCAATTTATAAATGAACTTCTCATAAATATTCGATTCATAAACGATTTCTAAATGTCGTTTCCGCTGGAAACTTGACGGTACAAATTTGACATTCATAAATATTTACAAAATCAACATATTTCTAACTTATCAATGACACGATTCCATCGATCATTAGAAGATTGAAAGAAAAACAATACGTAATATATATTTCCGTGCAATCATACATAGTTACAAACTAGATCATCAAAGTACAATTATCGAAAGAAAATGCTTGATACACACTACAGATTCTATGACAGTCTTTTTACTCGTTTATTTCTGTACAAGATGTAAAATGATCATTTTTCACTTAGGACATACAAAAAGTATTGAGATTCCAAATAGAACTAGAGATGTACCAAATCCAAGTTTTATGCTCAGAGCTTAAGTAAGGTTTGAACTTTGATTTCAATAGTTCGTAAAGAAAAATGTCATAAACGTTTCTGCAGAGATCAGTGAAGTTAGCTGAGTTCCCATTGTAAGGTTTTTAAACTTTCAAATCACACTATAGCTTCGACATCAGTCTCAAGCTTTTCAAACTCACGTTTCTCAAGCGCAAGCCCCGTCAATTCCAAACTGTTTCAATGTCAAGCCCAATGTGTGGATGTGGGTTTTCTTTAAAAGCATCCGCACCCACACTCTACACCCTAGAATAAGGGGAAGGACAATGAGAGGGGAGCAGAAGGAGATTAGAGAGTGTGTAATGGCCAGATGTGAATTCAACATCATCGCATAGGATTCGACTATGAAATTGAAATGACAAACTAAACAATTTAAAGCATGTCTTAATTTTTATCAACCATTTGATATGGGTCTACCGTTCAGTTTAATATAAACTAGTTTTCAAGTAACCTCTTGTGATGAATCTCAACAAATAGTCAATATCTATTCATCTTCTCTATCCAATATTTTTTATATTAAGCATGCTTTTAACAAATGCNATTTGACAATATCAACTTTCTTTTTAAATGATAGAGGAATACATCAAGTTTTTATTCATAAAAAAAAATTCAAAAGTATTGTTCAAAAGTATCACCTTGAACTGAAATAGAAAAATATAGTCCTTTTTCAATTTCTAAGAAAACATTTTTCAACGTTTCTTTTTTGATTCCTTGAATTTCTTGAGTTATTCTGTTCTTTAAATTATCAAGATCTTTTATATTATTTTTGTATATGTTTGTTCTGTTATAATTCCAGAGGAAAAAGTCCAAAGGCGTCATATCAGACGATCTTGGAGCGCAAGAGATCGACTCTCCTCTTCCTATCCATCAGTTATCAAACTTGTCATCCAACCAACAACGAACTGTCTTCGAGAAATGGGTCGAGGCCCTGTCTTGTTGAAAAATAATTTTCTTCGTGATCTTTTTCTGTAAAACTGGATAAAAGAATGTCTTGAGCATGTCAAGATAACTTTCTTGATCGATTGTTGGTTCTTCAAAGAAAAATAGTCCCACAATTTCTTTGGAAGACATGGCACACCATATAGGAAGTTTTGGTGAGTTCATTGCAACTTCTACGGTAGCAAAAAGATTATTTTCACTCCAAATGCGGCAATTGTGTGTATTAACTATTCCTGAAAGGTGAAATGTTGCCTCATCTGAAAAATAGATTAGACCGTCATTGTTGGAATCAGTAGCAATTGGTAGTAACATTTCAGCCATTTCGACCCGTAAGTCTTTGTCCTCGTCGTATAACTGTTGTGTTAACCGTATCTTATACGGCTTAAATCCCAACACTTCACGTAGCGTTCGATGCACCACCGATTTTCAAATATTAAGTTTACGAGATATACTACGAACACTATTGATTGGATTAACTGACAAAGCTTCAGCAATTTCTTCAACTTTTTCATCTGTTACTGTTGATGGTCGTCTTGAACGTCCACGATCATGTATTGAACCAGTTTCAACAAATTTATCAAAAATACGTCTGATACTGTTTTTGCATGGAATAACAGGTAAATTTTCCCGTTGAAAATGTCCTATGACTAATTTTGAATAATCCAACTTAGCCATCATAAGAACAATTTTAATTCTTAACTATTCATTGAGAGGCATTTGATTTATTTGAAATAGATACGTCTTGGATTAGTTTATTTCTTCAGACTCTGCAACGATAGAACTATCCTCTACACTGGTCAACTACCGGTGGAGGACACTATCCAATACAGAGGTGGTGTACTAATCACAATTGTCGAAGATAGTTCGTTGTTGGTTGGATGACAAGTTTGATAACTGATGGATAGGAAGAGGAGAGTCGATCTCTTGGGCTCCAAGATCGTCTGATATGACGCCTTTGGACTTTTTCCTCTGGAATTATAACAAAACAAACATATACAAAAATAATATAAAAGATCTTGATAATTTAAAGAACAGAATAACTCAAGAAATTCAAGGAATCAAAAAAGAAACGTTGAAAAATGTTTTCTTAGAAATTGAAAAAAGACTAAATTTTTCTATTTCAGTTCAAGGTGATACTTTTGAACAATACTTTTGAATTTTCTTTTATGAATAAAAACTTGATGTATTTCTCTATCATTTAAAAAGAAAGTTGATATTGTCAAATGATATAGTGGGGATAATCAAAAAACTTATCAAGACAGGACTTTTGAGATACCCTGTATTGCTCTCTACTATCATAAAAATGCTAACTTTTTCTTTCACAGCTACAAGTAATACACTTTCAAGAGTATTTCTGAACTTCACTCGTATGAAAAAAAAAGGTAATATTGTCAAATGAAATAGTGGAGATAATCGAAAAACTTATCACGACAGGACTTTTGAGACACCCGGTAGGTGCAGCTTCAGAGCATCCAGTTTTACTACCAAGTGCTGGGAAAGTGCTGAGGGTACTGGGCAATTCCGAACATGTTTTTCTCCTTTATGAACTAAGCTCTGACTCTCCTGGTAACAAACTACGTTCTTATGTTATTGATGATGAAATACGTTCTGTAACTGAAACTCCATTTTTAGTCTACATACAAGTCATTTAATTTTAATTGAGTTTTACTCATGTGAGGTAAAAAGAATAAAAAAATCGTTATTCATAAAGCACAAAACTTGAATTAACCGATAATCTATCTGTGCATGCTTAAAACGGAGTAAGAATGCTTTTAGAAAAGAAAAGCGAAAGATTAACCTTCATTAAATTGATAAATAGAGATCTGGTTGTACGCTTTATCGTTCACTGACATTAATATTAATTCACATAGAAATTTTTTTTTTTTATTGAAAACAAAATATTAATTTTGTAAACACAATGTGTCGCGTACACGCTGTTTCTTTTAAAGCACATAAAACAACGTGTATATTGGACTTAGCAAGTGTATCGTACATTATGATTATGCTTGATACACCTACTATTCGAAATGCTGCTTTTGTTCTCTCTTTGATACTGCTTGTTGGAGTAATTCTAAACTGATCCTTTCTATTTTAATTCTAATTCGACATATAAATTGATTCACAGTGGTACTTAACCTTCGAATGCACTAAAGCAAACATTTCATGTGAAAATTGATCAGGCCAAATAGTTCGAACTGGCCTGACCCGGTAGCCTGGTCATGAATTTCTTGGCCTGGAGCAGGCCAGACTGGCAGCTCTGTATTCGATAAAAATAACAATCATTGTTTAACTATTCATTATGACTAGATTATTGCTTTAACGCTATATTAACGAGCGAGTACTTTATCAATATATTAGAGCTTTATTAGTGAGTGCGAACAGATAACTATAGTCATATCAATTAAAAGTAGAACTTAATTTTTGTTTTTTTTTGAAAAATTTTATGTATGTTGTTATTCATTCCCCATTTGATAGGTATTGTATCTATATATGATTGATGTAGGATTATGTAGTACAGCTCACCTAGAGCTTATACTATTGATATCGTTTCATTAACAATGAGTAGAAAAGAAATTTAAAAAAAATTGTTGGCATTGTCAACCATCAGATTGATTTGATTTTTATTTCTTCATGTTTCATTGAAAATGGATGAATGTTTAACCAATAGAAACAGTATGTCATATACTACTATCCTACCGTATGAAATCAATNATCATTTTGAAATGTAGATGAAGCAGTTACTGTTAATTAGTTGGAAGTTTTTCAATGGCTAAGACTCTTTCTATTACTTGGAAAGTGGAAGTTAAAGTAACGGAAAATGTAACACACTTACTTCCAATGTCTTTTCAGACCATTTGGTAACGCTTTTTCTGCTCTATCTAATCATATGAAAATTCCCAAATTCGTCCTTTTATGAATAACTGAATGTATTTTTGAGGAGGAGACTTTAATAAGACAAGCTCTAACTTTCGTTTCATTATTACTTCATTATTTTCTTTTTCAATCTTTTATAACAAAAATAAGGAATCAATTGATTTCATACGGTAGGATAGTAGTATATGACATACTGTTTCTATTGGTTAAACATTCATCCATTTTCAATGAAACATGAAGAAAAAAAAAAATCAAATCAATCTGATGATTGACAATGCCAACAATTTTTTTTAAATTTCTTTTCTACTCATTGTTAATGAAACAATATCAATAGTATAAGCTCTAGGTGAGCTGTACTACATAATTCTACATCAATCATATATAGATACAATACCTATCAAATGGGGAATGAATAACAACATACATAAAATTTTTCAAAAAAAAACAAAATTTAACTTCTACTTTTAATTGATAGGACTATAGGATAAGCAAAAATCATAATCTTTGAATCATTTGATATAATTCTTTGTCTGAATTCAAACTGCGCCAATATGAGCATTTCCTTGTATACGCATTGATACCACTACTTAATCGTGAAAAAACATTCTTCATAAATAAGAAGAGCATTTCCATTAGATTTTGCGGATTATTACGCATATTAACATTGGGTCGATTCTCTCTCAAATGAAACTTTATCATTTTAAATTAATAATTAGAACGACGTTGAAAACAGCAATATGAATTTTGATAGTTATTTTATTCAGGCACTATTTTGACTTTTAAAAACATTTTATCTCATTATTTAAAGGATATGATTTTTGTTTATCATATTTTATGTTCACACTCATTAGTAAAACTCTAAGTTATTGATAGAGCACCTACTCTTTGATGCACATTGAACAATAATCCATTCACAATAAATAGTTAAACAATGATCATTATTTTTAACCAAAACTAGTAGATTAATTCAAATTACAGTACTTTGATGATCCTTATAATTATTCTTCGCCATGTCTATTTGAATTATATAGATATCAGATAATCATGTAGACCACATACTCTTTATAGTCCTTTGTACTATAGTTACCATGCCCATTTAGTCTCTGTTTCCAACAAGTACAAGTGACTTTCGATTTTCAGACCCTATCGTTTCAGTCTAGAGAATAGTCGAAACAATAGTGAAGTAGAGCCCATCAAGTCCATTTTGAACTCGATCGTGTCCGATCCGAATTCGCTATTGAAAATTCTCTTAATCGGGTCGATTATTACAACGCTGTGTTGATTGAATCTAAAAATTTTAGCTCCAACGGACTATAGTTAAGAATAAGATCCAATTATATGTTGATTATTGTAAGATCATCGTAAATATTGCCTGAGCAATGTATAGACTGGGCTACTTGCCAATAATAATAAGAAAAAAAAGTATCGTGTATTTGGGGTGCAACTATCCGATTAAGTTATAAAAACTTCATTGAAAGTATTAAGACTGCTGTTCACGGATGAGATTGAGTCTGACAACATTGGACCGAGATGGCTCTAGTCAGGAGTCGAACGACAATTTTTGTGAAGAGAAATTATTTACACAAAAAGACGAACTCACCTCAATCCTGAGCAATTAGATAATATTTTACTAGTGTAATACATGTAAAAGTATAAAAGGCTTTTTTTAAAGAGAATGTGTTTTATTTTCTGTGTATAATACTATTTCATTTGAAACACTTACATTGTTGACCCACTCATTATTCTACTGCTTTTTCTGTTGTTAATTCTACCCGTCTATGGAATATAATAATGGTATCTGTTTAAAAAAAAATGGCTAATCATGTTTGTCCTGCTTAGTGTCTTGTCCTGTGCTCACCTCTGTTACGATGACAAGTCGAAGAAAATTCAGTTAGAAATTGATCGATTATAAAAATTCATTCGACGAATATTCTATAAATGCTTCATGATATTGAGTAAAAGATCTTACTATCATCTCTTTATTATACCTTCAATATATCTTAAACATTCAATGCCATCCCTATAGTCAGGGACGTAAATCACCACTGAAGGCAGGGGGGCGTAGTCCTTTGAATTGTTTTTTTTTGGGGAGAGATTAAAAATTTTTTGACTGAGATAGTGCGTGTCTAAAAAAATGGATTTCTAGTTGTTTGCTATGTGTTTTTTGTGTAGACAATACAGTTCAGGAACCCATGTAAAAAATTTGGATTGAGAATCAGATTCAAAGTCGATTATAATGGCACTATTATAACCTGATTTTAATCAAATTTTTCAGCTTTAAATGACAGATTTTATTTGATTTTCATTTTTTCTATCGATTTTAATCGATTACCAATAATGACTGTAATAATAGCTTAAAAAACAATCAAAATCAAACAAAACTTGACATTTAAAGCTGAAAAATCTGATTTGAATCAGGTTATAATAGTGTCATTATAATCAATTTTTAACCTGATTCTTAAACCAAATTTTTTGCATGGGAAACACTACAGCAGAAAAGAAGCATGATTTAAAAAGAAGAGAGACGCACACAAAAATGTAATAACAGAAAAATGGATGAGTACAAAAGGGATACACGGTTGTTCCGAGGTAATCCAGATTGAGAGACCCATCTAAATCTTTTTCAGCACTGTAATCTTCTTTTGCTCATTGTGTTACAAAAATACTTTCAACGTACAAACATCTTATAATATGAAAAAAATTTGGTTTTTCTACCTTCCTTCATTTTGAGGAAGAAAACTGCTATCGTATGGAGTCAAAAGCGTCTCTAGACGTGTCTAACGCCGAAGACGTTTACGTCAGCGACTATTGATGAAAATGATACTTTATAGAACGCAGCATTAATAGAAACTTCCTAGAAATAGGTTTTAAGCCTTCAAAAAAAAAGTTAGGCATATGCAATTGATACCATTTATGCAAGCGAAATTGCTTTGTCGGCAGGTCTAAATTCTATTTCAGTGTTGTTGCGTTCCAAAACCTAAATGGTCGTTGAATGAAACCATTGATATTTGTTTAAAAGTTTTTGCCGCCGAAGGCGGCCGCGCTTGTGACCATTTAAAAAATAAAACTCTTATGCGTAAAAAGTACTATAAGAAAATGTTTAAATGATATATCAGACTTCTTAGGTCAGTTGTAATTATAAAGTTCTCACTTTTCACGAAGCGAAAATTTTTTTTTTCACTTTATATCTTGTTTGATATAAACTTATTTAATTCAGCACTTTTTGCCAAAGAGTTAGTAAGCTTCTACTTCATGTCTGTTTTCGCCCTTTTTACTAGTGAAAATAACGAAAACTTTCCAGTATTGTGGGAGGGTGGTGTACTACATAAGCAATTTTTCAAACCAGGGGGGGGAGTTGCCATAGAGAATTTCGAAAGCAGGGGCAGCGTCACGCCCCCCTCCCCCCCCTACTTACGCTCCTGCCTATAGTATCGAAACTGAAAACTATTTTTCAGAACGATTTGTTAATCCGACTACCACTGGTCAATAGAGCTACAAATATCGATTTTCAGAGAAGATCTTTTAAACTGTCTTTTATTTCATTTATCTAAAGGGGAGGAGGAAGCTCCTCTAATTTGCCTAAAACTTTATTTTAAGATATGTAAAGGTACGAACGAAACATAAAGATTTGATTCTTAGAACTCTTTACAGAATGTCTTCTATAAACCTCTTTGTAAATATCATCATCGTAAGATTAACGGTTAGTATAACATCACTAATAGTCGACATTTCTTTATATCTTAATTATGCCGTACATCGAAATATAACATTTATACTTTCCAATTTATTAAACAAAACAAAATTTCATTTACAACGAAGGAAAGTAATACAAATCTTTCTTCGGTACCAATATGTTGGACATAATTTTATTTATCTTCGTACAATTGCGTCGTGTTTCTTCTCTTGTAAAGTTTTTTGTGACAATTTTCAAATCATTATAATCAATTATAAATTTAGTTAGACATGGTACATACGCTTTTGTTTCATTTAGAAATTCTTCAACATTGTCAATATTTGCATTTATCACGTCAAGTAAAGTAAGATGAGGATATTTGGCGATTGAATATGATTAACTATCGTCAGATGAAAATGCGTTCATATTACACGACAACTGTAATTTAGAACTTGTAACATGAAGTTGATCCAGTCATGGAAAAGATCGAGAAATCCGAATAAAGAATTCATGATTGAATGGCATTACATCTACTACCCACAATGTCGTAACATATTTGAATACAGTATCTGGAAATATGTTACCAATATCTTGAAGACAATCAAATACAAAAGAAAGTGAGAAGATAGAACATATAGCTTGACGACTACTATTGTATTTTATGATATTAGCCATACATTGTTGGTGTCCATTATTTGTAGCAATTCGTTGAATATCTTGATTAGGTACATAACGAAATAAATCATCAGTATCATCATAAGTACTAATATAAAAAGTAAATGAATGAAGACGTGGCATATAAAGAAGAATTTCATTTTGAATATGAGAATTATCGATAAATCTACCTCAATTTTGTATACGAAGATATAAAGTTAATTTTTCCAGATATGTCATACGATGAAGAAGAGGTAGAATTTTCTCATCATATTTATTAATTTGACGATAACATTTCAATGAAAAACATTTCAAATTAGGTAAATCATCCTATACAATAAAAAAGAATATTTATAAATATAAAAGTATATAGAATTGGTAGTCAACTTTATTTCACGATTGACATTCTTTATTAAAACTTACCATATTGTGAATGATTGATGAAGACTTGCTTGTGTCACATATTTCAATAATAAATGTAGTTAATTGTTTGAGTCGACCATCAAGTAAATAAAAACAATCATCTAATGTGGATAGTTTGATACGTAAATGAGTAAGAATTGAAGAGAAAAAAATAGTTGATGGTGAATGACATAGTGATAAAGGTGGATAGAAACGATTGAATGTTTCAATAATACTCAAATGTTTTAATTTTTTGAAGAATTTCAAGATATGTTCATATACATTTCTACTATAATTTTCCAATGATCCTCTCCCAACGTTTTTGTCTTTATTTGCAATAATAAGATTTGTAATTTTTTCTTGAAAGATATATTGAAGAGATGATTCATCTAAATAAATAATAAAACATTCAACAGTCTGTTCTATTTAACACCATTCTTCTGTTATTTTTCTTACTTGTAAAATAATTTAAAGCGTCTTCTTTCGTGAAATTAAAAAGTTTAAGTTCAGTTAGATTTCGATAATCAGCAGCATGAAGAATACATTCCATTGAAATTGGTTCAAAAATAAAACATTTGACATTTTCATGAATTTTTGGCAATATAACCTTGCAAAATCGATCAAGTTTCTCTTGATCAATTGCAGAAACATTATCGATGGATACGAAATTGAGAGTATCACTGAAGATTTTTTCATATGCTAGACTGTTCAAATGTTCATTATTAATGTCGATAAATGAATAAAGAACATCAATATTATTCAGTTTTTTCAAAATAATAAGTAATATCTCGTCAGGTAAATCCAATAGATTAACATTCGATCGACTCATATTTTACTCTGACTATGATAACTCAAAACATAAAGGTATATATATATATATATATATCCATTGTTTGTTTATAACAGCTTTCGTCATTGTGGAATATAGAATATAGACGAACTCGTTGAAAAAATGAAAGATCAATGACATCGTCCAATTGAAACATCGTTAACGAATGATATAGTCTATAACGTGACGTTATAGGTCAAGATAAGTTACATTCACACGCTACATATAAAAAAGTGTATGTATGTAACTTATCCTCATCGATTTGAACCAATCAGGTTCTATTCCATGTTTAACTCTTTTCTGTCCAAGTTTTGATGACAATGTGAATATGTCAATGATGTGCAATTTAAGTCAAAAAAAAAATAAATCTTTAAATTAAAAATAAAATTAATCATTAGTTCAACTGAGAATATGGCACAGGGCTTAAAATAAGAAAGTAGTAGAAATTCATCTTGAGAAATCAATTGATTCACTTTTTTAGATAATTTTTTTTTGAAATTTTTTTAGTTTCAGTGCTGAATCGTATAGAAAGAAGAAAAAAAACTCTTTGCTGTTGAGACAATGTTTTCTGTTATATGACAATCTAAAGTGAATAATACTCAAATAGAATTTCATTCATTTCTTTATCTATTTTCATTAACGAGATAGGATTATCATCAAAGCAGTAAAATAGTATAGTTCATCGTATAGGCGCAATTTTGTTGGAATTGGTAGTTGATAATAGGAATAAAAAATGATTGACACGATCGAGCATATTTGAGATTTCAATGCTAGATAATGCTGGCAAAAAATATGAACGAATTTAATTCAATTCAACTTGTATACAGTGCGTAAAACAATTATTCAGACACGCTCTGATGCATTTCTCGTGAAGGAAATTTCACAATGAAAAAAGAATATTTCTCTGACTTTAACTATACCATTCGATAGACTGAAGTCGGTACTTTATTTCACACAAAACAGATTTCTTCTACAAAAGCCTTTCAAAAAGTTTTGAAAGATTTTTTGGAAAGCTTTTCTAGAAGAAATTTTTTTGTGTGAAATATAGCAGAGACTTCGGCCTATCGAATGATATAATTAATGTAAGACGAATGTTCTTTCTTCATTGTGAAATTTTCTTCGCGAGAAATGTATCATAGTGTTCGAATAATTATTTTACATATTGATGGGTCTAAAATGTTTTGTCAATTAATCTCAACTCGGAATCCTTTAATGCCGTAACATGTTTCCAGTTCAAGTCATTCAATTCATTAATTGAAATGAGTTGGTCTTTTTCTTAGCTGAATTGCTCAATTCTGATCTCAATTATTTTCAACAATAAGCTTCATGAATTTTCTTCTTTTGGCTTATATTCTAACGTAAGTAAAGTGAGCACCAGATTCGAGTATTTCTTGTCCAGATTCGCTTTCTTATCTGTGTTAACTCTCTAAGAGCTTGTGTTAGGTGTAGAATTTAATGCTCTATCGAATGGTACTATTTTCAAGGTGGGTCATCGAGCAAAAACAGGTGGTTCTGCCCCAAATACTGAGTTGAGGACTAGATTTCGACTGTAATCGTTGTCCAGATTCGCTCTACGACTTGTGTTAACTTTTTAACCTAATGTGTTAGATGTAGAATTTAATTCTCTATCCAATGGTGCTATTTTCAGGATGGGTCATCGGGAAAAAACAGTGGATTATTCCTCAAATACTGGGTCCAGGACTGGATTTCGACTGTAATCCGTCAAACCGAGTCTCGGATGCATTATTGGGGGTGTAACCCGTCCTTTGTGACTGATAACATCCCTAAAAATAGTACCATTCGATAGAGAATTAAATTCTGCATCCAACACACTAGGCTAAAAGGTTAACACAAGTCGTAGAGCGAATCTGGACAAGGATTACAGTCGAACTCTAGTCCTCAACCCAGTAGTTGGGACAGAACTCCCTGTTTTTGCCCGATGACCCACCTTGAAAATAGTATCATTGGATAGAGAATTAAATTCTGCATCCAATACACTAGGTTAAAAAGTTAACACAAGTCGTAGAGCGAATCCAGACAAGAAATATAGGATCTTTATTATTGATACACAGGGGATAACTCAGTATTTCAGGGAATAGGTGTAGTTTTTGCCCGATGACCCCCCTTTAAAGTAGTACCATTCGATAGAGCAATAAATTCTGCAGCTAATACAAGGTCTTAGAGAGTTAACACAGGTAAGAAAGCGAATCTGGACAAGAAATACTCGAATCTGGTGCTCACTTTACTTACGTATAGCCCTTTCAAGGAAGAGAAATGACATATTTCGATGCTCCCGAAAGTATAAGAAATGCTTGAATACGGTGAGAATACAAGGTGTGTAATGTGTGTATGGTTTTAGGAGATAATAAGACTCGCATTCACATTCACATCCTACAGTGTGCAAATGGAACTTTTCTTAATATTTACAATATTTTAAGTTTAATAAATGCTTATAACTCCACCATAGAGACCGCAATCCAGCGGCTTCTGTGCCGGTCGCAAGTCCGGATAAAGGAGAAGCGTTTGACGGAAGGGGTGCAGATACCGCCGTCTGTAAAAAGAACAAGACGACAGAAACCAACCATGAACGACTTCAACACGAAACCATACCGGCTCGGACGACGCCCGGGTAAACAAGGTCCGCGTCCTCTGCCGAGTGACCAGGGCAGAGTCGAAAAATTGGCGACTGG